TGCGTGAAATTGATGTCACTGTGTGCGTGCGAACAAGTTGAGCAGTTGAATGAAGCAGACGCTGCCCAGCTGTACTCTAAATCATAATAATTTAGGCAGGTAGTAAAAACTTGTTATAGTTTTATGCTAGCTATAAATTGAGACAAATAAATCAATAAAAGTGGCAATAAAATAATTGATGGAAAGAATGCTAATCACTTCAAAAAGTACCCACACAGTAAATAAATATAAGGGGTATTCTCTGAGTCTTGCAAAGCCCTTGCACGGTGCACAGATTGCACGGATTGCACGGTAAAAACCGGTTTTCGTATGGGACAGCTTTGCAAACCGTGCAATCCGTGCACCTTGCAAGGGCTTTGCAAGACTCAGAGAATACCCCTATTATGTTGTAAGAGTGACTAAAAAGAAAGGAATTTTCAGCTTTCTTCTTGGTTTCTGACCTTCTTGCTTATTTATCGATTTATCGATCATCTCAGCAACATATTATCGTCATATAAATTTCTCGGTTTGTTAACGATACATTTACCGATTAAGTACTTATTACTATCGTGATCAGCACTTATCGGTATTTCAGTATAATTACTCACACTTTTATTTATCGATAAGTTTTTTTGATGTTTCTCGATATAGCATATATTTATCGAAATTGGTATCGACATATTTCTTATATTAATGTTTATAGATAAGAATTCGTTGTCATAATTGAAGATGAAATGTTATCGATATATACATACATACATATATCGATGGCTGAGTGGAAGATCGACCTATATCGGCGGCCAGTTCGAAAACGGCCTGTCTCAGAAAATTTTTCAACAACGCCTTATCTCAGAAAACTTTTCAAGAACGCCCTACTTCAGAATTTGATTGAGAAACGCCCCAGCTCACTATTTGGTTGAAGAACTCCCTATCTTTGATGCCGATTCAAAAACGAGATAGGGCTCAGCTTATTTTCAATGTATTTTAGTTTGAGATAGGGCGTTTTTGAACCGAATTCTGAGAT